GCAAGAGGTAAGACACACAGAGAGAGAGAGAGAGAGAGAGAGAGAGAGAGAGAGAGAGAGAGAGAGAGAGAGAGAGAGAGAGAGAGAGTCCATAAACTTCTTGGCAAACTTTTCATTTTTATTGCGGGCTTAGCCGCAACAAGTACCCTAGTTGGGACATAAATTGCAATTGAAAACTGCCAGTTTTAGCGAAATGTTGTAAAATTGCCAGATTTTCTTCCCCTGTTGCAATGATGGTACCCTTTGTTTCTAGTACTTTCTACCCTTACTGAATGCATGTAAAATAACTGGCTCAAACAATCCAACAGTGCCCTCTCACATCACCTTCAACTTTGTAATTTCCTCTTCCATTTTTTCATCCCACACCAACCCTGCTCCTCCCTGTCCCAGTCCTTGCATCATCCACCATACTACTTTTTCAATCCAGCTGGCAAAGGCTTGCTAACCCTCCCTAGGGTTTTGAACTCGTGACACACGTGTACCATTCAGTATTTTTGAGGTAACAAGTTGTGTACCGTTCAGGTCTGAAACTCATGACCTGTTTATCAACAGCAAGACATCATCAGGATTTGAACTCATGATCTGTGTATCTAGAGCTACATGTGCATGCCTTTTTGGATTTTAACTCTTGAATTGTTTATCAACAGGTACATCTGTGTACCTTGCGGAGGATCAGTGCATCCGATGAATCTGGTCAAGTGTTGCTCATTGACTCTAATGAACTTGCACTTGTCATTCGCTTTTGGTATACATGTGTTCTTACAGAGTCTGCAGCTTCAGCTTGGAACATATAGAAAAGAGCTTGACAAGACAATTCAGGATAGAGAATCGCACAGAGCCAAGAAGTCTAAGGAGGAGCAAGACATACAGGAAAGGTTGGGGGCACTGCAGACTGATTGTGAGACACTGCGTCATATCAACATGAGAATTGACGAGTAAGACATTTTCTCTCAGCTCCTCACCTCGTTATCACATAGGTTGGCATAAGAATGGAAGGAATCCCCCTTCGTCTGTCCAGTTACCTCATTCTCTTTCTGTTTTTTAACTTTGTTTAGATTCCATCCTTCGTGAAGTGGTGGTGCTGGCCACTTGTCAGATGGAACTACAGCAAACCTAAGGTCCTGCTTGTACTTCAGGTACCCCTTATCTTTGACNCATCCTTCGTGAAGTGGTGGTGCTGGCCACTTGTCAGATGGAACTACAGCAAACCTAAGGTCCTGCTTGTACTTCAGGTACCCCTTATCTTTGACAGGACCAGTGCTGACATGATCCGTGCGGGTTGGCCTTTGAATGGAGAGGTCATGCCAATGCCGATGCCGATGCCGATGCCGATGCCAGCTGAATATAGTGTTCAGCAGCTCTGCCAGAATTGTCCACAGGCTTTCTGCATTTGCGGGTGGAGAGGGCTGCCCTTCTTTCCTGGATGAGTCCACCCTCTGAATCCGGACATCATATGTATTTTGAGGCCAGGGACATTAAAACGAATGCGTTGTCTTCTGTGATGCTGGTTTTTCCTTTCAGTTAGCGTGCAACCAATGTGCCATTTGTTGGGAGTGTTCAGGTACCCCTCTCCTTTTGACAGGACCAGTGCTGACATGATCCGTGCTGGTTGGTGTTTGAATGGAGAGGTCATGCCAATAGGTGAGGCCAGCTAAATATAGTGTTCAGCAGTTCTGGCAGAATTGTCAACAGGCTTTCTGCATTTGTGAATGGAGAGGTCATGCCGATGCTGACTCAAGCCCGCGCAAATATGCAAAAGGCTCAAGTTCGCATGCAGCAGCAAGCCAACAGGCGTTGCGTACCATGTCCCATCCGCGCCGGTGATCTGGTTTGGGTCTCCGCGGAAGAGTTTGCACTGGAACAGGACATTTCACGCAAACTGCTTCCCAAGTGGTTTGGACCTTGGTCTGTGACAGCAGCCGGGGGCGATGAGCCCGATGGCCCTTCATTTGTGATCAACATTCCAGAGCATCTGACGGTCCATCCGGTCTTCCATGCCTCGAAGCTGGCAACATACACGCCAGCCAAGAGCGACGACTTTCCGGGCCGACGATTGCAGGACCCTCCTTCTATGGATGGCCATCAGGAAGTTGACCGCGTCATCACCGATCGCAAGTACGGCAGCAAGCCGCGGCAGTACAAAGTCACATTCAAAGCATGCGATCGCGACGACACTCGGTGGATTTCAGGAGCAGATTTGAAAGCATCCGCACCGCTGATCTACGCTCACTATGAACGTCAAAGGTTAGCCAAGGGACCTCCACGACCTGCCCCTCCCACCCGGACTGTGGTCCCTCCCTCAGACAGACAGCTTCGCTTTCGCAGGTAAGCTCGGTCTTTCAAGGAGGGCGGGGTGTGGCAGACTGCGTAGCCACACGGGCCCTGTAGGACCCGTCCCGGACATTCAGCCTTAAAGCCTAAAACTTAGGAGCTACAGGCCCCGGTCGTTTCAGCCTGAAAACTGAAAAACGAGGGCCTGCAGGCCCTACTCTGTTTCAGCCTATTTCTGGGTCTTTCAGACCCAGAGTTTTTCCAGCCTGAAACGGAGGGCTATTCTTAGGCCCTGGGCTATTCTTAGGCCCTCATTTGTTTCG